GTAAGTTCTCCTTATAAGATTTGGGGAAAATTCAACTTATCAACTTGAACGAAATATTATGGACTGCTTATGAGCCTGGCAGTCGACGTTACTTTTTGTTGCTACAAGATAGATGAATTGGTCTAAGCGAATGGACAAATGGTAACTATGACCTGCCCATGACTAGGACGGAAAGAGGAGTGATAGTGTGACCGTTTTCGGCAGAACGTTTGTCGAGCGATTGACTTGACTTGTCTCTTTGACCAGTTCGTGGCTTGGTGCGGATGATGCCGACTACGTTTTAGAATGTACCAAATCATGACAACTACGACGGCAGACGACTTCGGACTAAGTGCGTTTTCATAAATCGCCATGACAACAAGACCAAGTTGAGACCTGAGTTGGCCTGTTTGTGTGTGTGTGTGTTTGTTTGTTAGGTCTAGTTGATGGCCATTTGGATTGTGCCCTCTTTATGCGGTCCGCCACCCTCTTCTGGGCACCATCACTCGCAGTTGCCTTCACAGACGCCGTCAGACACGTTCGGACAGTCTTTGGGTTGTGAAATTGTGGCGAATTGCTGCGACCCTGACATGAATTGCTTTCATTGCGAGTCGAGCAGTCGACCAGCCCATACCCTACCGCTAAAACCGCTATCACATTCACACCAATACGTTCGACAGTCGGCCATCTTTGGCATTTTTGCCGATACCAGCTGATTCCGGCGAATTCGCGGCTTCGAGAGGAAGAGTGTAATTATGCCGAATTTATTCTCTCAATTTGCATACTGACGGCACACATGCCAACGCCTATAAACACACCAAAACTATCTTTTCGCTTTCCTACTCTGCCCAGTGCCCTTATACCTCACGATTCACACGCGGCAGCACACACCACACATCACACACCACATACCGCATGTCACTAGCCACACGCCACACACACACACACACACACACACACACACACATATATACACGCAAACATACACACCTTACCCCTCGTAATCGCCCACTCAGCCCCCGGCCCACCTGCCATAGACGGTAATCAGCATTGCCCGGTACAGTCTCGGCCCTCCGGTTACCGCACAGTATGGGGCATTATTTATTCGTCTGCACGAGTTCGGCCCAACTTGGATACCAGATTGTGGCGAGGGTATTGGCGTAAGCAAAAGTGCTCATTGTAAATCACGCTGCTGGACGGAGGGGAACAACTGGCCACCTCTTCGGCAGAGGGGGCACCGACAAAAGCGCATCCATTCATCTCGGTTGCAGTGTTGTCGTGATAGATTTCTGCTCCAGCCTCAGCCTGTCGGTACCGAATGCCATGCACAAGCACACATTGCCTTCTCGGCCGGCCGAGACGATGACGCATAAAGGAGGACTAGGGATGAGGCAAGTGAAGCGGTATCATGACGAAATGAAGACACTTTTGTAATGGGATCCGAGTTTCGCCATTCCGGCAGGCATGAAGAAAAGATGGGTTTCGAACTATCCGCTTGCAAAATGATGCTGGCCACATATTTCTTTTAAGCTCATCAAGAACTGGCAGTTGAATTTTCCACAAAGCACGTTTCCATTAGGTCACAGTGCGGACGACAGCGCAGCAGATACCGGGCTCGAGTCCCGCTGGGAAAATTGAGCTACCATTACTGCATCACCTTTGACGAAACCGATTGAATAAAGCTCTACTGGCACTCTCTTGAATGTCTGCATGTCAAAGTAAAATATCTTTTCATTTATTTAAAAGAGGCGAATGGCAGGGATTTGTGACTATATTTATCACTTTTATTGAAGGTGTGAAGTCCATGATGGTGGGGCGTTTTGTATGGTCGCAGTCTCCTTTCGTTGTCTACAAATTTTTCGACCTTGTTTTCGCAACTTGATCATATTGTCAGGAAGTCTGAGAAGAATGCACCTTGACGGAAGTCCATAGTATGCACAATCACTTCCAGAGTGGGACGGTGGAGTTGGTACATTCTCAAGTCGATTGTGTGAAAAACTCTAAGTCTTCCTGCCAAGGTCAAACGACTTCTAGATTTGTGAGATTGCAGACATGTCTCGCGTCTGCAATCGAAATGAACGATATGCCGACATTGGGATAAGTTAAATATACTATTATTATTCATTATTCACATAGCATAATGTATGTATATATATATATATAATATTATTTAGATTTATTTATTAATACGCATGAATGCTAAAAATGGGAATAGAATAAACACCATAAGTGAGCACTCAATTGGACGATGGAGTTTGCCGTGTAATCTGTATGAACCTGAGCTGGTTAGTGTTGAGCATTACCAACCCGGGACTCGAAGTACATGTACTCCGAGACGCCATCATATCATCAATCATCATCACTCCTCACCAGTGAGCCTGGCCCATGCGTCGGTAGCCACGTCAGTCATGCTTGCACACAGACAAATGATACTGGCAAGTTGAGGAGAAGACCCATTCATAGCAATCTTGGGAAAATTAAGCTACCAGCACTGCAGCCCCTTTGACGAAACAGGTTTCCCTGACACTACAGCCAAGTTGCAAAAATGCCGTCAAACTCTAACGTCGTTTATAGGAAATCTGTTTTAGGTGACAAAAGTGTGGTATTTGAATGTACCCACAATTGAAGTTCAAGTTGTCATGTTCCCCGAAAAACATTCTCTTCCAA